CTGCGAGTTTTGCCTCCGGAGGGTCGAGGAATGAGCAAACGTATATCAAAGACGAATCAATCTTCATAAACATCAGTCAGGGGCGGCGCCGAAGCCACCAGGGGGGCCCAGCGCAGATCTAAGAATCCTCGCGGAGCGCCAAAAGTTTATGTTCATGCCGTTTGTTGTGGGCGAGGACCATGAAGGAGCATCCTTGATCATCGAACCCAAAAGGTACGCACGAAGCCGAAAAAATGCATGGTGAGTGGACGGTTCAATCAATGCCAAGAAAAAACATAGCATACTTCATACTTTCTTCGGGTTGGGTTGGGGTGGTCTGGGAGGCAGTCACTGGCTGTCGGTCTGGCAGGCATGCAGCCGCCCCGTCGCCCGCCGCGCCGCCGCCTCGTCGTCGCCGCCCCTTGTTGCCTGCTGCCTGGTTGGGTCGGCCTGGCCGCCCTCGCGACCGCGCCCGGCGTTCTGCCCGGGCCTGGTCGTCGGTCAGGCCGCCCCGTGGCCGCCCGCCGCCACCGCCCCGCTGCACGGAGCGGATAGCTCGCCAGCAGCGGGCTGCGCGGCAGCGAGTGGCTCCAGGGCCGCCTGGCTCCGCAGCAGCGAGGCGTTGCAACCGGGCCGCAGGGCATCGCAATCGCATGGCATGGCGTCGCGTTGCCCCACTTACGTAGAGTGCACCATATATTGCTGCACCGCGTAGCTGACACCACTTAGACGGCAGCACAGATCATGCCTCACACAGACTTTGTACTGCATACGTATAGACATACATATAGATATATACACATATAACTATACTGCAACCCATATATTGCACGACGTAGGCTGCACCACAAAACTTGCACCATCTGGAGGAAGCCTCAGGCGAAACGCCCGGCCCGCCCCAAAAACTGGCCTCGGGGTGCGACAGGGAGAAGTTAGGAGGAGAAGGAGGAGGAGACTCGAGGAGGAGGAGGAGGAGGAGAAGAGGAGGAGGAGGAGGAGAATGGAGGATGCAAAGAGGAGGAGGAGAAGAGGAGGAGAAGAGGAGGAGAAGAGGAGAAGAGGAGGAGGATAATCGAGGAGGAGGAGGAGGAGGAGGAGGAGGAGATTCGAGAAAAAGAATCGAGGAGAATCGAGGAGGAGGAGGAGGAGGGAGGAGGGAGGAGGAGGAAGGACCATTCCTTTGCCAAGGCAAAGGAATGGAGGAGGAGAGGAGGAGGAGGAGGAGGAGGAGGAGGAGGAGGAGGAGGAGGAGGAGGAGGAGGAGGAGGAGACTCGAGGATGCGGGAGGCCCGAGGAGCGACGCACGGCCCTCGGAGCCCCCGCACCCGCGCGGCGCCCCGGAGCGCCCGCGCGGCGCCGAGGCCGCCGCTCTCCGCGGACGCGCCCGAGTTCGTCCTCCCCGCCGGCCTGCCGGTCCTGACCGGGCCGGGCGGCGCTGCCGCCGAGGGGTCGGAGGCCGGTCGTCGTCGTCGTCGTCGTCGTCGTCGTCGTCGTCGTCGTCGTCGTCGTCGTCGTCGTCGTCGTCGTTCGGGGGCGGCAAAGAGGGGGGTGATGACTAGGGGGGCGATATCATGGCGGGGGCCATGATATGTCCCCAGATTTCAGGGCGCCTCTTCTTATTTCATTACGTCCCTGGCCCCCCCGCTGGGCCGCGCACATGCCGCCAGTCATGATTTGCACCCCCCCCCCTCTTGGACCCCCCCGCTCTTGGCCGCTCCCGAGTCGTCGTCGTCGTCGTCGTCGTCGTCGTCGTCGTCGTCGTCGTCGTCGTCGTCGTCGTCGTCGTCGTCCGGGCGCACGCAGACAGCTGACCACGCGCCGGGGGAGGTCTCTGGGGAGAGGACGGGGGCCTCTGAGAAGGAGGCTGCTTCTTAGAGGGCGCGTGCCTCGTCGACAGACGTAGGGGCGCCGCCTTCCAACAAGCAGCCCCCTTCTAAGGAGCCTTCCCACCTCAAGCGCACGACGGCGACATTGACGGGCTTGTTTCCCACCACCACCACCACCACCACCGCCACAAGCTGGAGGGGGCAAGGAGGTGGAGGAGGAGGAGGAGGACCCCCTCCCCCCTCCAACAGATGGTGGTGGCGGTGGAGAACCAGCCCATCAGCTATGCTCTGGGCACTCGCCGTGCGCTTCCCTCTGGGGCCCTTCCGCCCTCGGGGGCCGCCTTCGCAGCACGGGCCCGTCCAGAGCGGATCTTCAGCGGCAGGTAGGCGGTGCCCAGGGGGAGCGGCCGGCCCTGCCAGGGGCCGTGGGCGGCGGCGGCGATGCTCGGAGTCGGTCAGGAGGGAAAAAAAGCACAGACACAGTTGATCGTCGATTCCCCAGAAAAGATAGGAAAACATGGGAAGTGGGGGGGAAGACACAAAGTCAGAAAATATTGGAAAATATAGGGGATCTTCTTATTTGTGTGTATCTATTTGTGTGTCCCAGGGCCCCCTCAGTCGGAGGGCACCGCGGTGGCCCTCCCGGGGGCGCCCCCCATCCGAGGAGGGCCAGTCGAGGCAGCGGTGGTCTGCCCTCGGGGGCACCCCTCGTCGCCACGGCCGGGCGCAGCTCGGGAGCAGCGGGTGCGTCTGGCCCCTCCGTGAGGCGTCCAGGGGGGAGCGATTCCGAGTTCCGTTGACACGCTAGCGGCGAGGTAGGTCTCGGTACTCCAGACTTCGTAATAAAGGGAGGGGGGTCTCATTTCGGGGGGGGTCTCTTCCAGGCTATCTTGGAGGGCCTGGGGGGTCTGGGGACGATGTTTTGGAGGGTTCTCCCACGGGGGAGGTCTGAAATGGCTTGTCTTGGAGGGTCCAGACCCCCTCCCTTTTATTACGAAATCTGGAGTATTGTTGGAACGCGTGGCTCGCGCTTTCCTGCAATTCGCTGTGTCGCATTCGTTCGATACGTTCGCAGATTGGAAATGCAGGAGAGTGTGGTTCGCGATTGCCTACGATTCGGTTTCCAACACCACCGTTCGGCAACATCGCCGTTAGCGTGGCCTCGGGAGTTGTCTGTCGTTGTCTCAACTCGCCCTGCTCCGACAAGAGTCGAGGAAGCGCCACAGTAGGCTAAGGCCGTGGAGTGTCGTCGACGGGCCCCGCCTCCGTGCAAGAGTGGCGCGCTCCGTCGCCACAGCGGGCGGCATCATAGGCCTCATGCGTCGGGGAGTATCTTGAAGTCGGACCTGTCCCTCTGCAGGAGGAATCAGGAGGACTATTCAGAAATAGTAAAATCAATAGCCAGGGGACGATTTCTGTACTATTTTGAATATTGTTTCGAATAGTTTGTAGATTTGTTTTTGTCGTTCGCCCGTAATCCCCCTGTAGGAGGACATGCCCGACCTAAGAGTACCTTCCCTAGCCATTGATCTGGCGCCCACGCGCCAGATCCACGGATCCTTCATCCATGTCAGCGTACGCTCGAGGGGGTTCGCGTCGTGTCGACGCGGCATTATGCGGAGAACTACGGCAGGTTCGTGCCGTGTCGACGCGGCGGCGACTCCAGCGCGGGCGTTCAAGGTTGAACGCCACCATTGGCCCAGAATGGCCAGTATGGAACGACCTGGTGATCGAAGTTGATCGTTCAAGGTTGGGCGATCCACGCACCGTAGCCTGTTGGCTCAAGCCTTTTGGCTCAAGTCCTTCTTACTCAAGCTATTTCGCGAAGTCGCCGTCGCGCCTGCACAACTCATCGCCCCCTCGAATGTCCTCGAAGGGCGCCCCAGCGGAGCTGCTGTTCCAGACACACACGTCGGACAGCGCGTCCTCCTGCTCGTCGACGTCGCAGCTCGCCGCCGAGGAGGAAATGACGCTCCAGTTGCCTCCCCTGAAGGAGCTGATCAAGCTGATCACGGCAGCCTGGTTTGTCGTCGGGTGGATGCTGTTCGTGGGCAAGGACAGACTCACCGGCGCGTCAGAGCCTGATGCCGAAAGCATGACCGCCGCCTTGTATTGGCAGGCCCAGACCATCCCGACCGTCGGCTACGGTGACGTGTGCCCCGCTTCGAACGACAGGCGGCTTATGGTGGCGTTCTACGTGCTGGTGGGGAACGTGGTTGCCGGCGCGGGCGTGATGGACTACGTGACCAGTATGCTGGCCCAGGGGGCGGAGGAGACCAAGAAAGGCATGGTCTCAAAGGCCCTCTCGAAGTCGGTCGCCGCCACGGGTGGGGGCTCAGGAGATCTTCCGCAAGAGGCACCCGCCCCGGCGAGGGCGATGCGCGGGCCCCCTCCCGTGGTGAACGCGCTCTTGGGATTCCTGGCGATAATTTTGGTCGGGACAGTCTTTTTCAGCTTTGTGGATTTTTGCACCTGCGATGATTTTGATGCGTGCGACGTGGTGCTCTCTCTCGGCGAGACCCAGGCTTGTCTGGATCTCGGCGGAACTCCGCGCACCATGATCGAGGCCTTTTACACGTCTGTCATTACATTAACCACTGCTGTTTTTGGTGATTCTGTTTCGGGTAACTGGGTGGGTCGGCTCCTTGCCACCGTCTTGATGATAGTTGGAGTCGTTTTTATGGGCTGTTACCTCGGTCAGATCGCGAAGGCAGTGATTTTTTGTTTTAATGATGTGAACAGTTCTGGTCCGACTGGCATGAGTGAAGAGACTTTTCGGATGATCGATGCTGACTACAGCTGCGCCCTTACAACGTTCGAACACGTAGTTTACATGCTGTTGAATTTCAACATGGTTGACGCGAACGACGTGAAACAGCTGATCGACGCTGCCGCCAAGCGGGCCCGCTCCGCGCACGAGGGCGCCCGTGATACTGCTCGTGCCGAGGTGCAGCGAGTCGCGGCCCTGGCGTGCCGTGTCCAGTGTTTCCAGCTCGCGGTGCAACGCCGCATGCTCGACGCGCGCAGCGGAGATGACCCGGACCAGGGAGACGACGCCCCCGGCGGCTCGGCTTTTGGAGCCGACGGCGAATCCGACGACCTGCCGCCACAGCATCCGCTGGTCTGGGGCGTCGCCCACGCTTTCGCCACCCCGTGGCGTAACGAGCACCCTTTTCTCCCCCCGGCGGTGTCTGGCAAGCAGCTGGTGCACGGCCGGTTGTTCTACGACCGCTTCCCCAAATGGTGGCGAATTCTCGTGTGGCCCGGTCGCTGCGAAACTCCTCCCCGCGAGGCCTACGGCAACGTGTGCATCGTGGAGTTGGCGATCCTCTACGAGATCCAAACGCAGACGCGCCTCCCTGAGAAAATCGGCCCAGGCAAGTGGTGGCTGCCCGATTTGCACGCGTCGGCCGCCGTGCTGAGCCAGACGCTCAAAGGAAAAGGGCATGCTCGTGCAGGCGGTGATCAAGGTACTGGAGCAGCACGGCGCGGGCTTCGCGGCGCCTGCCCGCTGCTTCGCGCGCTCGTGGCGGATGTTCGTCTGCACGCAGGAGTCGCCCACGCACGCCCTGTCCGCGCGGCCGCAAATGCATCCCCGTGCCCTGAGCACCCAGCTTGAGACGTTCTTCCGGAACCCTGCAGTCCGCAAGAGCAAACTTCAGATGGATCGTGTTTTCACGACTGCCCCGGGCGAAGCTCATCTGATTGACGTCAAGGAGCGCGCCATTGGCGCCGATCCTCTCAGCCAGTGTCTTGCCCTGCACGGCAGCGCCCGGAGCGCTTTAGAGCAGGCCGACCTCGAGCTCTCCGCCAACCAGGAGGGCCGCGCCCAGCTCGCTGCTGCTAAACGTGCACTTGCTCAAGGGGACCGCACCGTCTACACGCTGACGGACGAAGGCGCGCTCACGCACCTGAATCCGTCGCGCGCAGCCGGCCAGCCTGCCAAGCAGGCTCGTCAAGGCATCGCGCTCGATGATGCGGGCCGGCTCCAGGCCAGGACCCCGCTCCATTTCTGGGCCGGCTCCCTGAGCCGCAATCGATGTCTGCTGCTTCTGGCTGCCGCGTGTTCGGCTTCAACACGCAGAATGCTTGGTGGGAGTGCTTCCTTTGTGACCGTGTGGTCGACACACACGAGCTCAGCCGCTCCTGAAAGCGCCCGTGCCTGGGCCTCGCTGCTGCTGCCGGATCGGACGCCAGTCGTCCAGGCCGTGCACCTTCTTCTACTGTGTCTGGGGCCCGCAACGCTGCTTCCTCATCATCCTGCAGGGCCCGCAATGGTGTTCCTCCCTCCTTTTCTGGGGCCCGCAACGGTGCCCGCCCGTCTGATTGTCCGCGATTGCCATTGCCTGGTCGCCGTCACGCCAGGCTTCCTCGCTGGGCGGCGCCCCCAACCAAGGCGATGATGATGGACCGGAACCAAAGCGGCACGCTGAAACACTTGGAAGTCATGGAAACGACGTGCAAGAGCTGATCGACGGGCTCATGAGATGGACAGGAACCAGAGCGGCACGTTGGAATACTTGCTCCGTCGGCGGCGTGGCAGAGTTGGTTGCACCAGCGATTGAAGTTTCATTATTGGCGTTCGATTGTTCAGCATGGGAATTGATCTTTCGGCGCGTCAATATGTGTGCCGCTCGCGCCAAGGCGTGTCAGGCTGCCATGCTAGCTCGCAGGTGACGTCCGCCTGCGGTCAGCCCAGTGAATTGGATCCATCTCTTTACTTTCAGGATCTGGTCGCTCCACCTTGTGTGCACATCCTTGGCCAATCGACCAGATAAATTCGCGCGAGGCGGTTCTGTCTTTGGCGCGAGACCCCGCCAGCGCCGATCGATTATTGCGAAGGCCTTACGGCCAGTGCCGCCGACCCTGAATGGGGGACAACGACGGCGACGACGACGTCGACGGCGGCAGCAGCGGCGACGACGTCCTCAGGGATGCTGTTTTGGGTCTCTTCGGAGCGCTCTCGGAGGCCTCTGGGGGGCAGTGTGGGGGCCTTTTGGGAGCATCCTGGGGGCCTCTTGGCAGCCTCTTGGGCGCTTTCTGTTTGCTCGCCGCGGAGGCGATCGTTTATGCCATCCCGCCTTGCGTGCGCACCCGTGAGCAATCGACCAGATAAGTGCGCACTAGGCTGATGCTTCTCCGTCGGAGATTTTAAATCGCATCTCCTGTTTTTCATTATTTTTCATTTTTACGGGTACCGAGGAGTTTCGCGAAGCCTTGTGCGCGCAACCTTGAAGTATTGACCAGGCAAGTATGCGCCAAACGATGCGCCTCGACCTGGATACCTCGTCAACGTTCGCTTCTCGGAGGGAGAAGTTGGGCGATCCACGCGGTGTCAGGATCACCCCAGAAGTCAGCATCGTCTAAAAGACCCCCGTGTCCATCCCCATCCCCTTCGAGAGCCCCACCAAATTACCCCCCAGTTGGAGATGCACCCCTCGAAACCCGAAGGCAACGGTCTATATCCCCATCTAGGGGGATAAATCGGCTAGTGGGGCCCAGGGCACGCCCGTGGGGCTAGGGATCGGACAAACAGTGCTCAAGAAGGTGCAAAAAACATCGTGTTGTTGGGGCCGATGGCAGGATGTTGGGTTCTACGCCTAAGTCGGGCTTGTCCCTCTACAGGAAGAATGTTCAAACATTGGCAAAACATAGTCTGGGGGCGATGTTTCTCCAACGTTTGACTATTTGGGTGTATCCTTTCCACTATGTTTAATGCTTCGTCCAAAATCCGCCTGTAGGGTGGCATGCCCGACCTAATTCTACGCGCCGGGGGCCTGAACTGCTGCTTCGCGAGAAGCGACACCATCAAAATGGCGCTGGTCGGCAAGGTGGGGCGCGTGGCCTCGTGCTTGCACTGCGCGTTCCGTGCCTTGCAATCGGCGTCACACCAACAGGCTTCTACTACTAGATGCGGCTTGATGTGGAGCCCGATATGTTCCACGCCGACGTCGCCGAAGCGTAGCCGACGTCGACGATGCATCGCTGGCACATCACCGATGCATCGCCGATGCGTCGCCGATGCATCGGCCATGCGGCGCCCATCCTCCGACCCCATCTATTCCGACCCCACGTAGGAGGCCTCTAGCATCTCATGGGCAGGAGGAAGAGGAGGAGGAAGAGGAGGAGAAGGAGGAGGAGGAAGAGGGAGGAGGAGGGAGGGGAGGAGGAGGAGGAGGAGGAGGAGGAGGAGGAGAAGAGAGGAGGAGGAGCAGGGAGGGGAGGAGGAGAAGGAGGAGAGGAGGAGGAGGAGAGGAGGAGGAGGAGGGAGGGCGAGGAGGGAGGAGGGAGGAGGAGGGACGGACAGGAGAAGGAGGGAGGGGGAGGAGGAGGAGGACGAGGAGGAGGAGGAGGAGGAAGAGGATGATGATGATGATGATGATGAGGAGGAGGGAGGAGGAGGAGGAGGAGGAGGAGGAGGAGTCTCGGGGGGCCGCCCCCCCCATGCAAGTAAACTTGCCGGAGTGGGTGTGAAGGAAAAGTTGTCGGAGGCCGACGGCCCAGAGCCACCGTATAGCGGGTACCTGCCCCCCGCCCTCCCGCCGCCCCCCCCCGAAAACCACGACGACGACGCCGACGACGACGCCGACGACGACGACGACGACGCTGACGCTGACGCTGACGACGACGCCGACAACGAGGCCGACGCCGACGCCGACGCCGACGCCGACGCCGACGCCGACGACGACGACGACGACGACGACGACGACGACGGCGACGGCCCCCCGGGGGTCGCGCTGGGCCTCCCTGAATGCCCCTTTGAAGCAGTCTCGAGCGCGTTGGGGGCCATTAGGGCCGCTCGTGGCAGCAATCTCGGGGCCGTGCTTGTGCCGGGCCGTCTCGGCGGCCTTTGGCCTTCCTGAGGCTCCCTTGGGGTGCCTGGGCCTTAGTGGGCCCTGGAAACTGCAGGGCCGTTTTTTTACCGTTTCCGAAGAAGTGTCCCTTGGAAATGGAAACGGCAAGAACAAGGCGATCGGAAACGGCAACAAAAACGGCTCCAGGACTGGAACCGGAGCGGGACCCCGCAAAGAAAACGGCAAAACGGAACCGGGAAAAAATCGGCCCTGTCGCTTCCAGGGCCCCTTAAGGCCTGGGCCTGTCTGGAAGCCCTGTTTCTGGACGCCCGAAATGGGTACCGAAAGAATGGGTACAATGCCCAACAGCAGTTCCTGTTCATTTTGAACAGGATTCGCTGTCCAGGCCGCCGCGGCCTGTGTCCATTCGAGACAGAAGGCCGCCTGCCCAACAGCGGCCGCTGCTGGTGTGGGACAGCATTTGCTGTTGGGCATCGTACCCGTTTTTCCGGTACCCATTGCGGGCGTCCAAAACTAAGGCCTGGGCCTGTCTGGAGGCCCTGTTGGGCCTTCCTTGGCACGGCGGGCGGCCATTTCACTCCGCTCGGCCGCGGACGGCGCGGCCGGGGCGGAGCTCGGCCCGCGGAGCTCGGCCCCTGCGCAGCTGGGCCCGCGGACGAGGCCAGCCTGGCCGTCGGCTGGAGGGTGCCCATCGGTCGTTGATTGGGCGTGGCTTGGTGGGGGGGTCACAGATGGGGGGGTCAGAAACGGTCCCCTTTCGGGCCCCTCCAGAGCCCCAGGGGGCTCGTTTAGGTACCGTTTGGGTACCTTTTCGAACCACCCTCGCCACCCCCCGATTTATGACCCCCCCATTACGCGGCGCCCAAGGTTGAGAGCGGGTGTCCTTGGAGTCCCAGATTCTAGGGAAACAACAAATGGCATGCACATAAAAACTCGGAAGTCCGCGCGGATTTCTCGGATCGGCGCTGGGGCCCCCCGGCGGCGCTTCCGGCGCCGCCCCTGGCGCGCTCCGCGCGCCAGGGAGGGGGGTCCAGCGCCGATCCAAGAAATCCGCGCGGACTTCCGAGTTGTTCTGTTTATGTCACTTGTTGTTCCCCTACAGATGCTCAGTAACCCTGTCCTCCAGATAATCAATCATACCCCCCCTCTCCCCCCTCTAGCATGTCTATCCAGTGTCAATAGGATTTGATTGTGGAGAGGGCGCGGGGGCCGAACTTGATGATCCCGGGGGAAGTTGCGAATCGAAATTGCTATCATCCCATGTTGACTAGCAACAGCATCAAAATCGCTGAGCATGGCAATGGTGGTCTCACCATTCCAGCTTCCGCAATCGCGAGCGTGTGTCAGGGCTATGGGATTCTTACCGTATCAGTTTTCCCAAGTCACGAACGTGCGGCAGGGCCATGGGATTCTCACTTGTCCCGATCGTCATCATCATCACGATCGTCATCATCATCATCATCATCATCATCATCATCATCATCATCATCATCATCATCATCATCATCATCATCATCAACATAACATCACCTTCGCCGGGAAAATCGTTGATTATCCCCGCCAGACCCCCGAACTTTATGATCCCCAGGTGATTATTATCTGGGGCACAGGGTGATCGCTTAGCCGAGACCCCCACCAAATTACCACCCCTGTTGGGGATACACCCCTCGAAACCCGAAGGGAACGGCCTATATCCCCATCCAGGGGGCTAAACCGGCCAGTGGGATGAATCGGGCACGCCGCTGGGTGTAGGGATCGGGTAAACGATAATCTTTGGAGTCCCAGATGCCAATCTACTTTGAGCGCCTTCCTGCTTCAACGATCGAGTGGCGTCTCCTGCTCCGTTCTCTTTAAGGTCGGGAAAACGTAAGACTCGGGTAAGCCAGAACTCGGGTTCGCTGCCGTTTTTTTTGACGATTGCGTCCTGGATTTTGACGGTCCGGTGTTCGTGAGTTGTCTGTTGTCGCAGGTCGCGTCAAATTTCAGATTGGGTCTCGTCATTTTCATGATAGCCCCGTCGGGCCAACCCGAGTCCCCCGCACCCGAGCCCTACGTCTCCCCGACTTTGGAGTCCCAGATGCCAATCCACGTTGAGCGCCTTCCTGCTTCAACGATCGAGTGGCGTCACCTCTTCCGGTCTCGTTCAGGGGGCGGGCGGACACCCAGTCTGCCTGGAGCGCCTTCCCATGTCATGCTTCTACCTACTTCTTCCGACCGATGGGTGCTTGTTTTACCCTCCTTTGGGCCACAGCGCGAGTTATGCCCCCACTCCTCCCCCCCCTCCCGACAGAGCGTCCCCGGCACTGCCGCAGCGCGTCTGGCACCCCAGTCTATGCTGCCAGACCCACGCGGCGGGGGGGGGGGGAGCGTAGCGTTATGCCTCCCCCGATCGCCCCCCCCCCCCCCCACACCCACCCACCCTGAGGCCCGTGATCGCCGCACGATCGGAGTTCCACCAGCTCCCAGACCCTATAGATTTCTTGTCCAGTGGTTCCTGATCAAATGGGAAACACGCTCTGGGGCGAGCAGCGCTGGGCGTCGAGAAGTCTTCTCACTGGCCAGCGAGTGCAAACATCGTGAAACGGCCCTCCAAGCTGCCTGAAAATATAAACAATTCTAAGTCGGGCCTATCCCTCTACAGGAGGAATATCCAAAAATAGTCGAAACATTGTATGGGGCGATGTTTTTTAATGTTTTCGGGGGTAGTTTCGAATAGTGTTGACCATCTTTCCTTTTTCCTCCCAAATCCCTCTGTAGGAGGACATGCCCGACCTACAAAATCCCTCCCAAATCCCGCTGCTGGATGAATACTCAAACATAGTTTTTAGATTAAAGAAGTCAGGAGACGATTCTTCTACCATTATCCACTATTTGACTATTTTTGATTGCTCGTCCAAAATCCGCCTGTAGGAGGACATGCCCGACCTGCATTTATGTCCTTTGCAAATGCAAGTGCCTGGCCACGGTTTGGCACGCGGAGAGATCAAACACAATCCTCCTCCTCCTCCTCCTCCTCCTCCTCCTCTCCCTTACCACGGTCGTCTTCTCCTCCTCCTCCTCCTCCTCCTACTCCTCCTCCTCCTCCTCCTCCTCCTCCCCCTCCCCCTCCCCCCCCTCCTCCGTCTCTGGGCTCGGTTTGGCACGCGGAGAGATCATCAAAAGATCCTCCTCCTCCTCTTTCCCCCTCCTCCTCCTCCTCCTCCTCCTCCTCCTCCTCCTCCTCCTCCTCCTCCTCCACCGTTCAGTCAACGCGCCTAGTAAGGACGCACACCTTCATCTAGAGTACCCTTGTGTCTTTGCCTCTGCGGCCCGTGCTTCGCCGTTTTCATTGGTCGCTCGCTCCAAAAACAAGGGTCTTCCGTCCTTGCCACCCGTCCTCAATGCACGTTTAGATTGTATGCGTTGCTGAGTTTTGATGGCTGGGTTCAGCTTGGCCGAGTTTCGCCTGGCCCAGTCTGTCCCTTTCCCAGCACCCCCGCCCCGAGCGCTGCATGGCCCCCGCAGGAGGTGCCCAACGCACCTGTCGCGCGGCCCCCGCCCGGCGGCCTATCGGCGGACGCGCCCGTCTTCTCGCCGCCGACCGCCGGCGTCGCCGAGATTGCGGCCGGCGCCGGGAGGGGACGGGAATCAGGTCTGGCACGGGGGATCCCCTGATTGGCGAAAAACGAAAACCAGTGAAGCTCGGAGGTCCGCGCAGATTTCTCGGATCCGCGCTGGAGCCCCCTGGCGGCGCCTCCGGCGCCGCCGCTGGTACGCTCCCCGCTCCAGGGAGGGGGGTCCAGCGCGGGGGCGAGAAATCCGCGCGAATCTCCGAGTTCGTATGTAGCCTTGTGACGGGGGTCAGTGCAAACGGGGGTCAGCTAGAGCGCCGGATTATGCAGGATCCTGCAGGGTCAGGGGCGCATTGGCCCGGGCTAGGGCGCAGGATCCTGCCGCAAGATCCTACAGGATCCTGCAGGATCTTGCAGGATCCTGCAAATCCTGACTGACCCAGGTTTGCACAGACCTGGGTCGGTAGACCTGGCACGGGGGGATCCCCAGATTTCCGATGATCTGATTTTTGATCCTGGCGATGCTCCTCGATTTCGGCTCTCGGTGGCCATCATCTCCGAAACGGGGATACGTCCATAACCATCGCCTGGGGGATCGATCTTTGAGGACCTCGCGAGGCGGTGGATGTGGCGAGATACTCGGGCATGTCTCTCTAAAGGAAGAATATTGCGAAGGCCTTACGGCCGGTGCCGCCGACCCTGGAGGGCGACCCATGCGTTCTCGTATGTGGCGGGGGGGGCCTCTTGGGGCTTCCTGGGGGCCTCTTGGGGGTCTCGTGGTGGCCTCTTGGGGGCCTCTTGGGGCCTCTTGGGGACTTCCTAGAGCCTCTTGGGGCGTCCTGGGAGCCTCTCGGGGCTGAAGGGTCGAAATGTCCGTTCGGGTGAACCATCTGGGCAATCTCTTGGAGCCGTCTTGGGGGTGTGTTGGGCGCGGCTCGGGCGTGGCTCGGGCGCGGCTCGGGCGCGGTCCGAGCGCGGCTCGGGCGCGGCTCGGGCGCGGCTCGGCGGCGGCTCGGGCGGCTCGGGCGCGGCCCCGAAACAATAAAGAATCCCTACGTGCAGTACTTGCGGGGGGGGCGTCGTATCTGAGTGGCGCCCCCCCCCCGGGACCCCCCCCGGGACCCCCCCGCTACCCCCTCCCGGCGGGGGAGGGATCAAAGGGAAGGGGCTTCCCTTCGACTCAAATACGACGTTGCTGAAGTTCATTTGGGCTGGCGCGCTTGAGCAGGGGCCCCTGCTGGGAAAGAGGTCGGGAGTGGCGACGGGCCCACGGAAAGGGAGGCGCAAGGAAGGGGGACGACAGAGACGACGACCAACGAACAACGGGGATGACGTCTCGAACGGAAAAGCCCCTCACACACGCCGACAGGGTCGGCGGATTCCATAATAGTCCAGAAGTAGTAGGGGGACGTTGAAAAAAAAACAAGAACACTACGTTGGATCATTTTGAATTATTTTGGGACTATTGTTTATTTTTTGACCTGCCCGACCTAGATGACCCGCCTCGCGTCGTCGGGCCCTGGGGCCGCCGATATCCGGAGCGGACAGCTTGCCCCCGCGGGACCTGCCGCGCACCGGAGCACAGCGCGGCCAGAGCCGGGACGACCGACATGGGTACTCCAGATTTCGTAATAAAGGGAGGGGGGTCTCATTTCGGGGGGGGTCTCTTCCAGGCTATCTTGTAGGGCCTGGGGGGTCTGGGGACGGTGTTTTGGAGGGTTCTCCCACGGATGGGGGTCTGAAATGGCTTGTCTTGGAGGGTCCAGACCCCCTCCCTTTTATTACGAAATCTGGAGTACGGAAAGAATGGGTACAATGCCCAACAGCAGTTCCTGTTCATTTTGAACAGGACTCGCTTTCCGCGCCGCCGCGGCCTGTGTCCATTTGAGACAGAAGGCCGCCTGCCCAACAGCGGCCGCTGTTGGTGGGGACAACATTTGTTGTTGGGCATTGTACCCATTTTTTCCGCACCCATTTCGGGCGTCCAAACAGAGCACTGGGGGGGGGGGTGCGACGGGGAGGCGAGCCGTCGGGAGCATCGAGGGCTGCACGACGGGGTCCTCGAACTTTGGCCCTCGGGCCATGGGAGATTTCGGAGGTTGATAGACCTCCTGCCCTGGCACGTCGATGCGCGAATTGGCCGTTTTCGTTTTGCGAGAGGGCGTCGCTGCCGTCATTTTTTGCGGGTCCAGGTCCGTCGGTTTCGGTCCTAGGCCGATTTCATGAAAGGGTGGTTTACTAAAGAGAGGTTTGTCCACCGCCGAAACATGAGCCTGGCGAAGGACCCAACCATACGCAGCTGTGAGCGCCGCAGTCGTGAGTATCATCGTCGGTGGAACTCCCTATGGATCAAGGGGGCGTGGACTAGCGACGGGCCCCGCTTCCATGGGAAATCGCGGATTTCCGCCGCCGGGTGAGGCGGCACCGGCCGCATTCTGCGGGGGGGGGCACCTCCCCCGATCCATGAAATTGGCGACCGCGCGCCAAATCCATGGATCGCCATGTTTGCGCGCCCCCGAGTCGGGAGCATCGAGGGCTGCACGACGGGGTCCCCGAAACCAGGCCCCCTCGGGCCCTGGCACAAATCAGGACGAACGGTCTGTCGCACCTCTCGGCCTCTGGGGGCCCTCGCTGGGCCGCGGGACCGTCAGAACGCGATTCGAAGGATGAAAGACCGGTCCTGAGGAATGGGTCGAGACCTCGGGGTCGACGCCATGACAAAACTCATGATCCGAGCATATTCTTTGGGTGGAGGGCAAAGAGTGAAATCTGAAATACCGTTTCGATCGGTGTTCGAGGCTTCAACTTGCAAAAGGTGAGTCACAAGACGGAATGACTCTCGAGGTGCAGAAACCCATATGGATTTCACCTTGAGCCCTCCACCCTAAGCAAAAATGCTCAGGAGAGGCTCGAGGCTGGTCAGAGAGGGTCTGGTTCTGATGGTGAGTTGCCGCAGCTTCCGCTCGTCTTGCAGTGACGGTACATCGGCGACGGGCGCCCACGTCTGGTTCTGATGGTGCGTTGCGGCAGCTTCCGCTCGTCTTGCAGTGATGGTACATCGGCGACGGGGGCCCCAGATCCCCCGGCAGCCCACAGCAGTGCTCAACAGAGAGAGCGCCAAAAAAGCACGGTGCCCAAAGGAGCGACGAGAGCAAACGGGGTCCTCTTCACCGATACTGGCGCGTCCACCCTAAAAGCACCATGCCCATCCTAAGAAAATGCGTCCACTGGCGCGTCCGCCCTAAAAGAGCATGCCCGGGTGCTGTCGGGTGTCTGGGCCCGCCCGCGCGGTTTGCCGCCGCGCTGTACCAGCTGCGGCGCCGAGAGGCCGTGGCGGGCGCACCTCTGTGGGGGCGGGGGCGAGGCCGGCACGGGGGGAGACTCGGGAGGGGAAAGAAAGCACACCGACACCACGAATCGTCGACCCCCAGGAAAATATACAGTCGGGGCCCTGAAGAAGGAACCCTTTTGGTTGGGGAGGGGCTCCGCGTTCCTTAAGTGTTTCACAGCTTGCCTCAGGTTTTCCTTATGTTTTCGATAGGAACTCGAAGTTTAACTTACGGAAAAAAGGGGCCTCGTTCCTTATTTAGGGTCCCTTAGGTCAATGCCCCGACTGTAGGAACATATGGGGAGTGGGCGGGAAGACGAAGCCAGACAAAATAAGAAAATATAGGGAATCCTGGGATTTGTGTGTACTTATGTGTGTCCTTGGGCCCCTTCAGAAACAGAGAGCGGAGGACAAGATATACCGGTGCCGCTGCTCTTCCTGGAGAGCCCTCGTCACCGCGGCCAGAAGAGAAAGCCATATAAACCAAAATGTTTAGCGCTCCGCGCGGATTTCTTGGATCCGCGCCTGGGCCCCCGGACGGCGCCTCCAGCGCCGCCCCTGGCGCGCTCCGCGCGCCAGGGAGGGGCTTCAAGCGCGAATCCAGGAAATCCACGCGGAGCGCCAAACAAATATGTTGATGTTTGTTGTTTCTTCTTCTACTGACATCCAGGCCAGAACTCAGCCCCGAGGTCAAGGGAGCAGCGGCATCCGTATCTTTTTGTGGGGTTCGGGTGTGTGTGTGTGTGTGACGGCACCCCGTGTCTTCAACGATCTTCTGAACATTTTTGGGGTGAAGGAAGAGTTAGTGGTTCCTTGAGAGAGCTCTTTCTCAGCTTTGTGCGAGGATATTCCATTTGGCAAGGGTTGCACGTAGACTCTCTTTGGTCATGGGGGGGTCTGCATTATTTGTGTCGTTACACATTCACATCGATTTCCTTTCTAGGGGTCTTCCCTTGTGTGATAGGTGCCAGGACAAAACAATAACTGACCTCGAAAATTCACTGGTCCTGTTTTTGTGGTCCGCCCCCAGGAATAAAGAAGGAAGGCCGGTGAATTTCAGGGGTCCGTTGGTTTTTTGCTCCCAGAACTTTTCCCAAATTCGGTGCTGTTGAATCTGCGACAGGGACCCTTACCGAGGACCCGCTTACTGAAGGAACCCTTACTCAGGAACGCTTCCTACAGAAACCCTTGTTCACGATTCCTTCCTGTCGGAATCCTTCCTGAAGGCAACCGCTACTGAGGAAGGCTTAATACAAGGGCATGCTTACGGTGGACTCCTCCAAGGAATCCGCGCTACGAGCAGCATCATTATTGAATATTGATTCAGCGGGCCATTACACGGGACCCCTTACTGATGGAACCCTTACTAGTGGCCCCTTTACTAAAGGCGTCCGTATGGTAAGGACTTTTGATTGCAGGGATCTTGGATACGGATTCCTCGTTAGAGGGGTCTTTGCGAATGCGTGCTCAGTGAATGGATCCGGATGAAGGACCCCCTAACCAACGGAATCCCTCTAAGGTCCACTTCTGGAGGCATCCTTACTGATGAATCCATGCGAGAGGAGACCTTACTAAGGAGCCCTTCTCCCCAGAATCCTTCTTGAGGAAATCCTCAATGCAAGCGATATGGCGGAGGGTTTCTCAGGACAGGGATCTCACTACGGACACATTGACAAAGTCTCCCCGTTGAGGGCTCTTTGCTCAACGGGCCCGTACCCAGAAATACCTTTTACAGCAAGCATTCCGATTTGAGGCCCTGGCACCCTTGACCAAGGAACCCCCAAACAAAAGCAGTATTCAGGATGTCTCTGGCAGGAAGGAGTTTTCACTAGGCACACTCTTGTTAAGGAGTCCGTGCTAAGGCATCCTCGACCAGGAATTCGTACTAGAGACCCTTTTTACTTACGACTCCTTACCGACGTGGCCCTCACGGAGGACTGCTTACTACAGGGCCACCTGCCGAGGGAACCCGTTTATCTGAGGAGTCTTCATCAAGGATCCTATACCAAAATCATCCGTACTAAAGAACCCTTACTTCAGGAAGCGTTACGAATAAACAGCCATTCGTAACGCTTTTACAGCAAGCCTACTCAGACGCTGTGCTCAGGATTCCTTACTAGGAGCATACTGCCAAGGAATCCGTACCAAAGGCATCCTTGACAAGGACTCCGTATCACAGGTATGTTTGCGAAGAGGTATTTCATCATGGACCCATACAACATATTGTTTACTACAAGGTTTTTTTACAGGGGTATGTCGGGTATGCCTTATTACAGGCATCCTTACGAATGGTTACACATTCAAGGGCATCCTCACTGAGGGGTCCTTAATCAAACAAGGCGTCTTTACTAGAAGTTTCTTGCAAACAAGGGGTCCCTAGTCAGTATCCCTTGTGACTGGAACCCGTACGAAGGATCCCACATTAGATGCACCCTTCCTAAAGAGCCTGGGCTCAGGAGTCCTCACTGCACGAATATCTAAGGATCATCAAATCTAAGGACCCCATTACTACAGAATTGTAGCAACTAATCCCCTGAAGGGGTCCTGGCTGCAAGCGGTCCGTTATAGTACGGCATTCGTTTAAATATAGGCATCCGTATTGAAGGCATTATTTTTGTAGGGGTCGTGGCCATAGAGTGAAGAGTGTATGCCTTGCCCGTGAGCGCTCGACTGAACGCAGCGGCGTGGCAGGCCAGTGAACACCCGAGGCCGAGAACCCGAGAGAGCAGACAGCATCGGTGTCATCAGCATCGTCAGCATCATCATCATCATCATCATCATCATCAGCAGCAGCAGCATCATCATCATCATCAGCATCATCATGATCAGCATCATCAGCATCAGCATCATCAGCATCGTCATCCAATTATGCGTGTCCGTGCCACTCTGTTTTGAAACAGCATAATATGGGGGGCGCGGGGCGCCGTTGTGCCCCCAAACCACTTTGTTTTGCCCCCCCTCGGGTCGGCACGGGGCGAACCTCGTGGTCAACGGAGGGTGGGGGGGCGATGGCCTGCCTTCGGGCGCCTTCGCCGTTTCTTCCCGGCATAGTCTTCCCGCCCCGTGGTGCTCTCCAGCAGCTGTCGGGGGGGGCAGAGAGGGGGGTGATGACTAGGGGGGGGGGGATATCATGGCGTGGGCCATGATGTTTCCTCAGATTTCACGGCGCCTCTTCTTATTTCATTACGTCCTTGGCCCTCCCCCCCCCTGGGCCGCGCACGTGCCGCCGGCCATGATTTGCGCCCCCTTCTCTTGGACGCCCCCCTCTTGGCCGAGGCCGAACCCGAGTGGTGCTCTCCAGCAGCTGGTCATCGCCGGGAGAGCTATCTGAGGGTGGCCAGATCGGCCCGAGCGGCCGCCTCAGGCCATAGAGCCGATTACCCGAGAGCCAGGGTGCCAGGTCGTCATAGGGGGGAACATCGCCAGGGAGGCAACATGCCCATATCGCGGGCCGGGCCCCTGGGCCGCGCCCCCATAAACAAGACCGCGAGGGCGTGGATATGGCGATGTTCGCCGCTCGTGAACATCAGGGGCAACGATCGGGGGGGGGGATGGGCCCAGATGGGGAACGCATCGATCCCCTAAGCGCCCAATCATCGCACGGCCCGCTCCGCCAAAGAACCCTCGGTTTCGCTGTCTGGCGCCAGGTCAGGCGAGGTCGGCATGGGGGAAATCGCCGAAAACACGTGCACGCACATGAACGTTCTGAGGTCTGATGGGCCTGTTCTCCACCACCACCACCACCATAAGTCGGAGGGGGTAAGGAGGAGGAGGACGAGGAGGAGGAGGAGGACGAAGAGGAGGAGGAGGAGGAGGAGGAGGCGGAGGAGGGTCCCCTCCCCCTCCAACTTATGGTGGTGGTGGTGGAAAACAGGCCCAGCAAGGTCCGCGCGGATTTCCTCCGTCTGCGCTGCCCCCCCCCCCCCCCCCTCCGGCCTGGCGGCGACTCCAGCGCCGCCCCCTGGCGCGCTCCGCGCGCCAGGAGGGCGTCCAGCGCCGACCAAGATCTTCGCGAGGGCCTCCAAAATCTGACGTCTAGAACCAGGAGGGAAAAGACACACAGACACAATTAATCGTCGATTCCCTAGAAAGTATGGGAAAACATGGGAAGTGGGGGGAAAACAGAAACCCAGACAATATGGAACACATGGGAAATCATGCTATTTATGTCTATTTGTTTCTGTGTGTCCCAGGGCCCCTTTCATAGAAGTTGGAACCATCTTGGGCTCAGGAGGGACTCTGGTTTGCCGTCCGCTCCTCAGATCCAGGTCAGGGAATCCCTTCGTGGCCAAGGTCCAGAACACGAACATCGGTTCCTTATGCAGCTAACCTGGTTTTAGGACGATGATGGTACGGAGGAAGAGGGTCAGGCAAGCGAGGAGGGGCGCTAGACAGGGAGATTCTAATGGGGCGGAGCTAATATGACGTGTTGCGGCAGTGGACTGTGTTCGCGATGGCGAGAATCGTGGTGTGTGAGATGTCCTATCATATTGTTGTGTTTCTCCTTCTCCCCTCTCTCTCTCTGTCCCTCTCTCTCTCTCTCCCCCTCCCTCTCCTCCTTCGTAGCCGAGCTCGGGAAAGAAGCCCTGGGGGAGATGCCCAGCTCGCGGTGGAGGGCAGGGGGAGGAGATATGCCGCAAGCGACGATATGTTCGCCGGCCCACCCGTGTTCGAGTTTATGGACGAGGAGCAGTTCTTCACCCCGGCCGGAGGGGCAGAGAGCCTGCGCCCGTGGATCTGTGTTTCCTGGATGGGGTCCGAGCAGACGGGGTCGGAGCATCGCGCCGCATCGCCGATGCACCGGCGATGCGGCTCGATGCGGAGCCCGATGGTCGCCATGCCGGCGGCGCCGATGCATCGCCGACGTCGCGGTGCATCGCCGATGCATCGGCATTGGAGCGGTGCTCACGTGACGGGCTTTTGCAAGATCATGCCGGCAATTGCCTTCGCGGTGCATCCTGAGACGTTCCACGGCCGTCGAATTCACCTTGCGCGCGCACAAGCATAGGGAATTCATGAGACATGAGGACGCTGAACGCCCATGCTTCTTTGAGCTCCCAGGCCGTGGCTCTCTTCTGCTCGGTCGTATGTGTATCATCGCTTGAGTGCTACATGCCATTCCTTGTCTTTTCTGTCACCTGAACTCTTCCTCCTGATGCTACGCGGCCCATGCCGTGCGGCGTTCGTACGTGCAGGCTCGGCGTCGCGCTCTTGACGCGTTCTGGTGCCATTCGTCAGCTCATTCATTGCAGGCATCGGTCATATCATGATGCGTGGCTCGGCTTGTGACAACCGCCATGGGGAAGTCGAACTGTTGCGCGCCACTGCTGGTTGTCCTTACACATTCGATGACCTCGTGGATGGGCTGATGTTTTTTTGCGTATCCCTGAATGCTCTTGGAGGGGGTGCCTGATCCGCTCGCGGTCACGCACAGATTGCGGGGAGATTTGGCGGGTGACAGTCTGACGGTCCTTGGGGTCTTGGTGGCCCGGAGGGTTTCGAGAGTTACAAAGAGGACCCCAGGATGCTTCGAGAAGCTCACACCAGAGGCTGCAAGACCCGATGGCGTTTCCATGGTGGCTCCATGTGGCCCATGATGGCTCAGGACGATGGGAGGGTCGCAAGCGGCCTCCGGGGCGCAGAACGCAGAGCATAAGTTGACGTGGTGGTTCTCTCCGTCCTGAGGCACTGGGGAGGTCCCTGGAGAATACGGAGAGGCCACCAGAAAGCCCCACTGAGGCCCCACTGAGCACCCCAGGATGGCACGCCAGCCTCCCCGCTCGGCCCCGGGATCGCCTCGAGAGGCCCTCGGGAGCGCCCCGCCCGTGAGGCCCTCGAGGCGAGCTCCTCGGAACTCCCAGGAGCAACACCGGGGAACGCACCCCAAGGGGGGCCCTTAAAAGGCTCCAAGTCTCGGGGGCCCCCCAGACGGGGTGATGACCACACCGTGCGGTGAGTCGGTGGGGATTCGGGGTCACCGCACGGCTTTGGGACTCGGGTCGTTCTCCGGGGACGCCTCGGGCGACTGGAGCCTCCGAGGTCCGAAAACCGTGCGCTGACGGACCGTGCGGTGAGGTCTTGGGGGATTTCGAGGTCACCGCACGGTTTGTCACCGCACCGCTTCGGGACTCCAAAAAGTCATTCCAAGGGGGGCCCCGAGATGAAGGCCCTGGAGGGCCCAACGAGCGGTCCAAGAGGGCCCCTGAGAGGTCCCCCAGAGGGGCCAGGAGCACTTCGCACTCTCTGGCGAGAGCTGTTCGTGCAGCCGAGACGCCGACGGCACAAGGGACCATCATGAGGCCTCCTTCCTCCCTCGTCCCCCTCGTCCTCCTCATGGATTTGACGTCTCTTCTCCACTCGACTTGCGGGAATGACACCAGAGGAAAACCCCAATCAGTGGAAGGAGGTCGACTAGGAACCCGGAGCCCACCGAAATCGGCCCAGGACCAACAACTATAGGAACCCGGGAACCCGGAACCGGGACCCGGAACCCAGCCGGCCACCACAATCGGCGGGAAGTGTTCGCCTATTTTTTCAATTTCCGCTACGACCTCTTCAGTGCAAGCATTGATTAGGAAATGATACCTCGGTGCAGTTCGATGCATCTCAATTTCACCACCAATTCTGCATCCAGAGATATCCAGGTGCATGTGTTGCAGCATGGACCTCAAAGCAGTGAGTTGTTGCACCCTGGATGTACAAGCTATTTGGTTCAACGTGTGTGGTGGATGTTATGTATGTGCGGCAATCTGTGTGGTGCAAGCTATGCGATGCAACATGTGCGGCTTCCAAAGCACTCCCAACCCCTCCTCAACCTTCCCAAACCCGTCCTTAACCATCCCGAGCACTCCAAAACCATCCCCCAAACCCGCCAAACCCTCCCCAAACCATCCCAAACCCTTGTTCAAAACACCCCTGAACACTCCTGAGAACTTCCTGAGCCCTCTTTTGAATGTTCCATCCTTAACCCAACTCGATTTTCCTGAACCGTCCTAAACACAAATAGACTTAAGCCGGGCATGCCCCTCTACATGAGGAGTACCCCAACAATGGGGAAAAACATCTGGGGACGTTGTTTTAAAGTAGTGTTGACTATTTGGGGGTATCTGTTGACTCTCTTTGTCCAACATGCGCCTGTAGGAGGACACGCCTGACCTAACACTAGACCCCCAAATGTGTGGTGCAGGCGATGTGTCGCACGCTCACCACCCACCAAACCACCCCGAAGGCCTCAGTTTGCCCTCCGTTTCCAGTGGTGGTGGGGGGGGTGTCAGGGAACATCGAAAACAACAACAACTAAATTCGCGTCTTCGGAATGGGCTGGGGTATCTTGTGACACTCTCTTTTACTTTTCGTCCAACATCCGCCTGTAGGAGGACACGCCCGACCCAAAGCGAGACCTCCGAACGTGTGGTGCAGGCGATGTGTCGCACGCTGCGTGGGGCAGGCCCTCAGACCACATCACACCAGAGGTTATATATATATATATATATATATATATATATATGTGTATATATATGTGTTAACCAGGCAGATTTCGTTGTGTGGTCATACAACAATCACACCACAGAATATATGAACCAAGCAATGCCGCGAGGATTGCTTTGGCAAAACGAAAAAAAAAAAAAAAATAAAAAAAAAAAAAAAAAAAAAAAAAAAAAAAAAAAAAAAAAAAAAAAAAAAAAAAAAAAAAAAAAACTCGGGGCGGCGCCTGCCGGGCGGCGCCTCCCGGGCGACGAAGGCACGGGGGGGTGGGGGGGGGGGGCCTGGCCTGCGCCCGTGGGCGCCGGCGGGCGACGCCCGCGGGGCGGCGAGCTCCGATCGACCGGGAGGTCGCCGAGGTGCTGCTGCAGTCGGGCCGGACGAAAAGGGGGGAGATTGGGAAAGGGGGGGTACGACATGGTCTGCATGCAGCTGGTTTGGGCCTCGCCGAGGGGCCCATTCCTCGATACCTAATGGAGGATGACGATCAATAAATGACCGGGGGTCATGTTCACGCGGCGGCGCCCGGGATGACGATTAGAAAGAACCAGCCGCGGGCTGGAAAACTATTTTTGTTTCATCGTTCTCCTCCAGTCGGAAACTTGTGCAGAAATAGCAGATCACTATCTTTTGAATCGTTCTGTCCCATGTTCTTATTAATCGCCATCCCGCATCAGCCGCCTCCGAGCCGCCTCCGGCGCCGGGAGGCGCCGGGAAAATCAGCTACGTGAGCGGATTCTCACCCCCCCCCTTTGCTATCCCCCCCTTTTTGCCCGACCCGATACAGGGCGCCGGAGGCGCCGACGACGACGGAGAGGCCGAGGCGCGGGCGAGGAGCTTGTTCATGTTCAGGCCCAGCGAGCAGGAGCTCACGTGGCAGAGCTGGGGGCCGCGCGCCGTGCGCCGCTCGGGGTTCACCACGGCGCGCGCGGGGCAAAGTGTCCCGGGCACCCATCCAGGCAGGCGCCCTCGGATGTCGCAGGAGGAAGAGGTACCCATACCCCTACCCTTGCCTCGTTTCCCCCTCTTTGGGGCCTTCTGGGCTGCGACTGCGGTTATGATGTTCCAACGTAGCTTAGCCTTGACCACCAAAAAAAAATCGAGCTCCAAGAAAGTACCGAAGCTTGAGTGTTCTCACGCGTCGGGCACTGGGATGCACCCATTCGACACCGTTTCGGCACTCTTTCGGCACGTTCCCGGGTGGTCGAAATTATTTCTGGGTTGTGGTCCTTAAGTACGCAGCATAAGACCGCGGGGGAAAAATCCTGGACACCCATCCGAGCAGGCGCCCTCGGATCTCGGAGGAGGAATACGCACCCATACCTCCACCCTTGCCTCGTGAGCCCCTTTTTGGGCCTCCTGGGCGGCCCTCGTCACCACCGCTGGGTTCGCATCGGGATTCTGGTCAGAACGCACCCCCGGGAGAGGGAGAGGTCAAAAGAGTAGCGGTATCGGTACCTTTTGGCTTCCCCAGGATCGGATGTTGCCAATAGTTCGGGGGTGGCAAAGAGGGGGGTGATGACTAGGGGGGGTGATGATCAGGGGGGTGATGATTAGGGCAGGCGCCCTAGGAGGGCGCGTAAATTGAGATAGCCATCTACATGCTGCTCGCGTCGTCGTCGTCGTCTTCGTCGTCGTCTTTTGTCGCTCGTCGTTCGTCGCTCGTCGCTCATCGTCGTCATGCGCGCGGGCGCGGCTGCGCTGCGGGGCCAAATTCCCGGAAACCCATCCAAGCAGGCGCACTTGGATCGGGTGTTGCTAGAAATGCCCCTGGCCCAAGACGCCCCCGGGATTTTCGAGGAGCCCCCCACGGCCTCCACAACACCCCTCACGAGGTCCAGGGGGCCCAGGGGCCCCAGAATGGAGCGAAAAACCGGGGGCACCTAAGTGTGGCTGGGGCGATACATGGAGGGAGGCAACGATGGCTGCAGAAAAGGGCCTGTTCAGGGCCCCCGAAAGAGGCCTTCGGGGCCCAAAATGTATCGCACCCCATTAAGAGACTGTTCCTTTATAGCTTGGGTCGCAATGGGCATTATAGACCCCTCCCCCCCCTCCCCTTTCCCAATGCCGTAACGCCCCTCTCCCCCGCAGTGCGCTCCGCCGTGCGCATCGGGCACACGGCGGGGGGGGGGCGTTACAGTAGATCCCCCCCGGCCCCCTACCCCCCCATATGATGCCCACTGTCGCCGAAATTAAAAACATGCGTTCCCAGTCGCGCCCTGC